AGTGATAGTTTAGCTACAATATTGAATCACGGACTGGTAAGACTACTTATGCATTGTATTTACTTTCCAAAAAAAAAGAGTCTGATTATATTAATGCTTTTATTAGTACAATCTAATCGTTCAATTTGTAGAGAAGTGGTTGCTGTCATCGTTTATGTACAGAATTGTTAGGTCCCTTATTATTGAGTGCTTCACAAAAAAAGGGTTTTGTAACTGGTCCTTACTGCCAATTATTTATTATGGCTCGACAAAACTTAGAGTTATGGTGGAGTAAGTAGTTACACTTGGCAAACTGTTTGACATGTACAGTCGTCGAGCTCGAGAAGCCCAGCCGAGACATACCGGAATAGTGGAACACCATGCTTTCCAGAAGTAAAAGTGATTGTACAGCATGCAGTACTACTGATAAAATTTGCCCACTGTATGGACTTGAAACTTAACCATCTTGTATGAAATATTTTGAAAATAAACTGTAACAAATAGGACCACAAATAAAAAAAATAACTAAATGGTCAATTCTATATGCAGGTACTAAATTACTGTATTTTAATACAGTAAAGCAAGACTGTTGTCCAAGCACAACTAGCTCGTTATTACTTTTATCTGACAGTAACCACAACAGTTAGAAACTATTTGGCTGAAGTCACGTGGTAACTTTTGTAGTATAAGCGGGTTCAAATTGTTAAGAAAGTTGGTGCCCAGCAACGTTTTCAACTACATTGCACGCTCATGTCCACTGTGATAACATCTTCAAATCGCAGGGATAACGTATGGATTTCAAGCGTATGCCATATACTTGCTCCCTGAGAGAACACAACAACAAAGAGTGCACGCATGCTTGACACAATAATGAAAATTATGAAAAAGATGTAGCAGGTTTCGTCTCTTGGTGCAGATCCCTGCAGGCACTTACCTAATTCCCACCCCATTTTGTCAACAAGCAGCCCATGTAAAACGTTCGAACATGCGCTATTATGTCGGGTCATAACCAGTTTCCTCTAACCATCTTGCACTTAGTTCTGGCACGACATACGTTTCAAAGATCTATTTCTTGCAAACTGTGTGAGTAATTGTAGACCATTCTTCAACAGTTATTTTTGTGCTTACTCGATAGGAAAACATGAGCTACAAATTTTCTAAGTTTCTAAAATATGAATGGTAATTGAATTGTGAATGGTAATCTACACCCAGCCTTAGCATATATTTTCTTTATAATCATTTTCAATTTGAGGCATGGCACAAATTTTGAAGTACGACTGAAGCTTCTCATATGCATGTTTCGTTTATTTGAAGGTGCCATTTAACAATCTTGAATTAATCCTGCAATGAACTAACATCTGAATGCCTTGCGAATTGCCTGCCACAAAATGTATTTTACTAGGTAAGTTGTTCTGTGCTTGTTACACAAGCTGAAGATGATGACAATACTGACTGCCGCATCGTCACTGATGAGGCAGAGGATAGCGCGTGTACAATTTAAATGCACACACGAGGCCCAATGTCAGTGCTACATTTCCAATTTCAACACGAGCGCGCGCAATATGTATGCTTTACCGCAATACACAGCGTGCACTTCACCGCAAGGCACGACTGCCTTGCGGCACTGTTTAATTTTAAGAAGACGCTTAAGGTGGCAATTTTGAGCGAATATTTATACCGATCCCAGAATATCTCCAACTTTATTTTTTTTTCTTTGTATACACCCACAAGAACACACATAGCTTAGAAAACCGATTATCGTAATCGGCGACAGCATAATTAAGCCATTTGGAAAATAACGTCGTGTGAACGCCTCGTAATATTCCATCGCTTCCAACTTGTGCATTTCGTATCTGTCTCACGCAGTTACGCAAGAAGACGCTTCAATGAAAGTTTTGGCGCAAGCATACACTTAACCGAAGCGACACATCGATCCTTACGCTACACACGCACTTACCAGACATACACGTACGGCATACATCCGCAAATAGCATAACACACGGTGTTCATGATCGGGCAAGTCGTTACCACATTGCTTATAGACAGTATTACAGAACGAGACCACGTATCCATGCGCAGAAGAGGTTCTCGCGAATGCATAAGGCTCCCGGCCAAGCAAAGACCACGGATAAATAACCACCGCTCGGGAAAGATCCTAACAAGTTAGTGAGGAACCTTAGACCTTTCGTTCCCACCACCTAAACGTCCCCCAAAAAATGTCCAACACGGCGATTCTGTCGCCGTCTATTCATGCATTTTCAGCCAAGTCAAGCCGGTTTCAAGCGGCTATTGGGTGAACGAAACGTTTTGGCCCTCGCCTCGAAAGGTTCGTGCCACCCGATGGCAGCAGACGCGGCCTAACAGGCCCCACATCAGAGAACAAGAAAACTGTATATCAAGTCAAGCACCATTATTTTTTTCTAATGTACACTATTTCAATTATAAACCACTATTTCTCTCAAACTTCGTAACATTTTATAAAACCACTCAATTCTTGGCCAGTTCATAGAGAAAGATGGCCAATTCTCCACAGCCACGGTAGTCACTGTCTATGACCACTGTAGCCACTAAGCAACGTTTCTAGAACTAGAACCAAGTGGCATTGTATAGGTACAGTGGCTGTATATGTGTTCTGTGCACAATGTTCCAGCAACGTTGCTACGGGGTGCCACCCACAGTGGGTATGCGCAACAAGAGAAATACAAAAGCGAAACTCCACTTTAACGCTAGTCGAGAAACATTGGTCGGCTCAACGAAATTAAAGTGAGCTAGAATAGGGTAGTGGGCTTGCTGGGTTCCCCTGCTTGACGCCGAGTATGTCACACGTGTGGTGGCGCTACCAGCGACTTCAATATAGGGCACTGCCTAACGGAGGCGTTGGTGCGCAACTGAAATCATGCTTTTTGTGCGCTGTTATTCCATGCACTGGACAAAAACGCGCGCGAATTTAGGCAGTGTAAATGTTAATGCTGATGTCGCTAAGACAATAAAAATAAAGAAAGAAAACTAGCGTAGAGCTAGGTGCGTATGCCGTTGGCATACATGTGCGCGTAGGTAACCATCTAGAACACTGTAGCATGGCGTATGCAGCTAAACTGTTAGCTCTTTATTTGATGTTAAATAAAACACACCGAATACCATCAGTACTCGCGTGAAAAAAGCTGTAGAAAACATTCTTTTCATAAACTCTGTCGGCGTAACTCGCGCGATTAAACTGCATGCAGAACTCGATGCATGCAAGGGATGCTGTGCAAACATGAGATGCATTTAAATTCTCTTACAAGTGATACGCAGCGATAGTGAACTTTTCAAAGCTTACGTTGCGCGGCAATCAATTGTAAACTGGGTTCTTTGCATTTCTCGGGCCCTACTTTCGTCACGCACGCCTTTTACAAGCGTGTGAAATTATTAGCGATGCTGACCTTGGCACACACTCGGGAGTTCACCACGAGCTCTTAATGTTATACATTTCACAGCATTTCACAATAATTCACAATTCACAACATTTCACAATAATTTTCAGTTGCTCATTTTTTCTGCAGATCTTCATAATCTTGGCTCTGTGATTTGGCTATTTCTGCACTGAATATTCCTATGCAAAGACTGTAAAAATCCACAGATAAGAAAAACAGGAAGCCACTCTCCCCAAGTACTGGGCACAAGTACATGAAAATTTATTCATCAGATATATATTGGGCACAGTTGCTTACTGGATATTTCTTCTTCAGGAGCAGCGGCTCAACTTTAGATGCTTTGCCTTTTTCCGCTTCTCGGTTCTACCAGAATTAATGCCTTTCACAAAACTGCGTAACAATATAAAAGCTGATTACGTCTTTTGAGAGGCCAGGAGCATGTTGTGCGCGCCCAACTTCTTGGGAAAACTTTTTTTTCACGATTGTCAATACATCCGAAATGCTGTCCGAGTGCAACTTGTGTCAAGAAAAGCACTCGGTAAACATGTTTTATCGCTTGCTCACAAAACTGTACAGGTGGCTAGATGGATACAACAGTCCACCCTTGTCACGAAAGGTGGTTAGACGAGTGAGCTGAAAATCTTCTCCTTGAGCTGGCATCGTGAGTAGTGTTATGCAAACTTCGCAGTTTGTTTTAATGACACACGTTCGCGCAATATAGCCAGCGACATAAAAGATCAGCCTGGAATCACTTCTAGCAATATGCTGGTTGTGGTCAATAGGTGCTGGCACTGTAGACTCATTCACAGTGCTTGCACTGCCAACGGAATCGTCTTGTGGCAGTGTGCCAGTAGCAGCATTGATCTCCAGCAATGAAGCTAGCTCGCCTTGGTCACAAATCCCCTGGCTAACTGTTTTCACGAGACCATACAATGACAGACAAGTAATGATTAGCAAAAACTGAGTTGGCGTGGGGTGGTCGTTGCTGCCGGATGACTGACGTATAATACCAAATATATTTTCTAATGGGTCTTGACTGGTCTTTGATGTCGATATGTATTTAAATGCTACTTTCCCTGTCAAATAAGAAAGCATTTCTAGCACAATGGTTATAGTCACACGCAGTCCAGTCACGTAAATTATATGCACGTAGTCCCATAGCACATACTTCGGTTGAAAATGAAGGTCACACACGGCAGATGTGCCGTCCAGGGATTTGTACGCTCGATGCAAATTTCTTTCCCATCGCTTCTTCGGGGCTGTATCCTTCGGAACGCCGAACAAAGACGGCTTCTTGCTGCCCTTCACGTGGACGTAACCTGTACGACAGCCTGGCGCAAAACAGTGGTTTTGCCGCCGCGGAAGCATTTTAACCTCGTCTGAGGGTCACTGCTTGTCAGGCCACATCACTGTTCGCCGAAGAACCTAGGGGATTGGGGATGCAAAGCGCTGCGAGTTCTCAAAGTAAGAAAACTCGCGCACACCAACCGCCACTCTAAACAGGCAGCAACTGCCCCAGTGCCAACGCTCGCTACATTTAATGCGGTGGTGGCGCCACGCCGCAGAGGCGCGCTGAAGCACGTTTGTGTGACATTGGTGGCGTCACCGCAATGCATGGCGCGGGCCGGCCAGTGAGCCCACTACCCTATTCTAGCTCACTTTAACGTTACTAACGTTGGGTCGGCTGTGGTCGATATGATGGCGGCCTTGGGGAAATCCTGCCGTTTCGTCCCAACATTTAGGCTGCTCGGGAAATCGCGGTCGGTTTCACGTCAGACACCGAGACACAATGTCCACCAGACCGCCTACCTGTTACGCGTCAAAGGCATAGAGCTTCGCATGCCCGCGCTATCGCCGACTATGACGGAAGGCACGATCATCAAATGGCTCAAGAACGAAGGTGACACCGTCCAGCCGGGAGACGTGCTTTGCGAGATTCAGACCGACAAGACGGTCGTTGCCTACGAAGTCGAGGACTCGGGCGTCCTCGCCAAGATTTTAAAAGACGCTAACTCTGGGGTGCAGCCGCTGAACACGCTCATGGGACTCATGGTCGAGGAAGGACAGGACTGGAAAGACGTCGACGTCCCCGAGGACACGGCGGGCACACTGCCGGCCATCGCCGCCCAACCAGGCACAGCTGACCAACCGAAGCCGGTGAGCGCAAAAACGTCGTCTATGGTTGGTCCGGCTGTGAAGCACCTCTTAGACATGTACGGTCTGAAAGCGGAGGACGTGCCGGCTACGGGTCCCCACAACGTGCTGCTCAAAGCGGACGTCGCTAGGTACGTGACGTCCAAAGGCGCCTCAAAAACCGCCGCACCTCCGATTGAGCCGTCACCGCCGACTAGAACTAGCGAGGGGCTGGAATACAAAGACGTGCCAGTGACCAGCATGCGACGTGCTATCGCCAAGCGGCTCACCCTGTCGAAAACAACGATCCCTCACAGTTACGTTAACGTAGTGTGCAGCATCGACGAAACGCTAGAGTCCCGGAAAAAATACGCGGCCGAGGGAATCAAAGTGTCTGTGAACGATTTCATCATTAAAGCAGCAGCAATGGCCTTGCATCGAGTGCCCGCTGTGAATGTGACGTGGAAGAACGAAAGAGTCGAGTTTATGTCCGACATCGACATCTGCATCGCCGTGGCTACCGACACCGGCCTCATCACGCCCATCGTGCGAGCCGCCGATCTGCTGGGAATCGACGGAATCGCCGCCACCGTCAGAGAACTGGCCGGCCGTGCCCGAGTGGGCAAGCTGAAGCCGAACGAATTCGATGGGGGCTCTTTTTCCATATCGAACTTGGGTATGTTCGGCATATCACAGTTCAGTGCGGTGATCAACCCTCCGCAGGCGTCCATATTAGCTGTCGGAGGGTCCGTGATGGTGCCTGGCTGCGACGGGAAGCCACGACATGCCATGGCTGCCACACTGTCCTACGATGCACGGGCCATTACCGATGATAATGCAGCCGAGTTTGTGGAGGCATTCAAAGATCACATGGAACAGCCACTCAACATGCTAGGAATGCCTCTTGTAAAGCACTCATACAAACTGTAGGATATTTATTGCATCAGCTAGTCCCTTTGGTGTGTGCCACTAAGAAATAAACACTTTCAGCTGTGATCACTGTAATTTATTCAGCCAGTGGGGAACCAAAGAGGTGAGTGCACTCTCAATTTAGGCTGTACTAGCTATCGAAAATGGTTGACTAGGCCACACATTGGGTTGGTGAAAATTGGCAGTGCAGAAGATTGGCAGTACGAAATTGTCGTGAAAGCTGTCCAACACAAGTTACAACATGGTAGAAGCAACTGCTAGAACTGAAATTGGTGCTGGTAAATAATGATAGGTGCCGGCAATATTCACTGCAATCACACAGCCTTTAACAGGCACAGGTACCCACGAGAATGGCAATAATGAGAGTTGTTGGCTCACCTTACCAGCTGTGCTGTAAGACATAAAGAATATTATATTGTAATTGACCACAACCTGCCACGTAGTACCACCAATGAGATTTTGTACACACTTTTGTCTGGTTAGTAAAGCTAGAAGTTAGGTGTTGGCCAAACATGGTAAAAACAGCGCAAACTAAAAAAGACGAACAAAGAAATAACAGACAGGACGAGCACTCAATGGCAACCGACTAATAAAGTTAGGGGTCCATCAACTAGTGGTCAAAAAGGAAAACACCAATTTATAAATAACAAATGTTTCGGCTCCCGCAGATGAGCTGAAACGTAGACTATTCTAACAGTTTTTTTAGGTCGGCGTCTTCCTGGGACTCCTGACCATGGTTATTCATGACCAGACAAGTTTTCGTTGAACCCCTGATTTCAATAAACAACCATGATTTGTAAAATGAATAGTTAACAAACATTTCAAAAGTTGCATGGGATGTGAGGATTACTTTACATTGAAATTCTTGAATATCTCAAAAAGCATTTGATATAATTCAACTAGTCTCTGGCCCTATTAAACTTTGTCACAAAAACCGCCACACTCATACTCATCACAAGCACTCAACGACAAGCATATATTGTCGTATAGGTGGCGCATTTGTAGGTGGCCAACTAAAAATAACAAACTAGTTGCTCAATTGGTCCGGTGCTCCTACGTTTTTTGTCCACATCACTTGTACGCTTTTTTTTTTTCGATAAAACTGTGTTAATATGAGCTAAGTGTTATAGTGCCATTCAAATTAACGTGCAAGATTTCATTATTGAGACATCCTGAAATGCAGACTAGCCATTGGCCCACACCCACTCCCTTACCTGCAACAGTGCTTATGATGTTCGACTGCTGGCAGTGGAGTACGGGCAGTGGCAGCCGCATTACAATACTAGAAACTTAAGATTTAGGTGCATGTTAAAGAACACCACATGGTCAGAAATACCAGAACCTTCACTATGGTGTCATGTGGGACCCAAACTGTTGCTCTTCCTGAACCCCAGTCGCTGAAAAGAAAAAAAATGATCAAGGCACCAGTGGTGTGACCACTGAGTATGTTTCCCTCCTCACCTTCACTTAGCTATGACTACACCAAGCTTGACCCTCCCTCTTTCTAGCTATACTACAGAACACTGTGCTTATCCTTGCCATAACTCGTGCAGATGCTAGGTGTCTATCTCTTTCTTTCATTCTCTTGCCCATAGTAATGCAATCATGGTACTGCCAGGAATGCTCATCCTGCCTGGATAGCCATGTCACTCACCTGCAGATTATGGCTCGATCCGGCCTCTGCAAGAATTAATTTTTTCTTTTATTTATTTCTTGTGCTCATCACTTGTCCAACGCTTTGCTAGGTGACAAATGGTGATGTCCTCACATAGCAATGAAATACAGCTTCCGCGAACACTGCCAGACCTAGGTCAAACAGCTCACGATTAACAACAGTGCATAAAACAGACGCCAGACAGAGAGTAGTTTTTTTTATGGACAGTGAGCCGAGCTAGTTGGCACTCCAAAAAGACAAGGCGCGCAAACACAAGACGCCTAGTAACAACTGAAGAAACACACAACATGCCGAATTGATAAGTTCGCATATTGCATACACAGATAAGTTTTTCTTTGTTGCCATTGTGTGCATCTCCAGTTGTCCGGGCTTCCTTCATGTGTTTGTGTTTGCACGTTTTGTAGTTAAAAGCACCTTTCCTGTAGTTCTTTTCCGTTTTGCATGCGGGTATAAGAGTTGAAGTGAATCAACAAGCCAAGCAAGCAACCATCATTTAAATGCGTGTTCAATAAGGTAAAAAGCCCATGTCCAATCATAAACAGCTGATTGGTCACGTCCAGTATACAATGAACTTTAATTTGAGGGACCGAAAGTTCACTTATCTAAAAGTTCACTAAACTAAATATTCACTAGAATACAGAACTGCATTGTACTTAGCAGATATCAAAAGTGTGAAATACAACCTGTTTTGAAAATAAATTCATAATTTTCATTTTAACTGGTGCCCTTAAAGCACAAGATTAGACAAAGTTGTCCAGAGAGTCTATGCTAGTCTGTAGCACAGCTCATTGCTGAGACAGGAACTGTTGCAAAGTTCCAATTTATATCCTTAGCTAGAGATACAGACTTATAACGTGCCTCAGTTACTGGAACGTGTTCCCTGCACTCTTCCGGATGAACACAAAAAAACATTTCAGGCACTGAAGCAAGTGCATGTGGCTCCTTTTCATCTGTCACACGGCCTCTTCGGTGTTGTATGCACAAGCAATGTTGCACCGTTGTTGACAGATGAGCGATTTGGGGGCAGAACGCATCAGCTTCACCAGTAGTGAAAAATGCCAAACTTCACTTAATTGATTTCTAAAGTAAATCTGGGTTTGCAGATCGAGTTCATTCAACTGAAATATTTAGAAATTTGATTAACTGAAAGATTTTTCCATTGAAGGCACAGGAAAACAGTTAAAAGTTCTTCTAAAAACTGGTTATTCTGAAATATTTGTTCAACTGACATTCGCTTAATTGAGGTGTTTACTGTATCAGGCGATCTATCTGGCTCTAATTTTGAAACTGTGAGCAAGGCCATAAAACACATAGTACTGGAAGAATTAGCACCACCTTGACTCTTGCAAACACTCACACAAGCACTCACACAAGCACTCACACATCCACCCGAGTAACACACACGACACGCAGTGCTCACTACCAACTGTTTATTGCTCCGATATGGCCTTCTCATATATGTACGGATGAATGCACAAAGGCAATAACTAACAGAGCTGTGCCTGTGGAAAGCCAGCAGCACGTGAGGTATGTAGCGCCGCCATACAGTAAAAAACTAATAAAAAAAGGTGAGCACGAAAGGCAGATAAACCAGCTAGAATCACTAAACCCTTGCCTAGATAAAAGATATTTCCTGTTGATGCAACACCAAAGGTCATTTGCTGAAAGAGATATCTCTATTTTTTTTTTCCATAAAATATGCTTTCAACAGTAGGCGTGCAGATAAATTCGAGCTTCTTCCAAGAACCTTCGTATCAGGGAATCATGGTTCACACCCACATGCGGCGATATGTGACACAGGATGTGCGTGCTTATCTTCCTTTTTCTTGACTTTTGGCGCATGCTTCGTTAGCCGGTCATTGAGGCATCTCTCGATAATGCCAATGTACACGTTACCGCAGGATAAAGGAATGGAGTATACAGCTCCTATGGAACATTTGACGAAGGCGTTCTCATGCTTTTTCAGGCAACTGCATCTCTTGCCATTGTGAATGCACGGGCACAACCCGGCGAGCTTATCTGGTGCAGAAAAGACCACAGCCACGCCATGCCTAGGAGCGACCTTCTCAATGTTATGAGAAAGCTTATGCATGTACGGCATCACTTGAAGCTTGAAACCCGATGGATCCTAAACAGCTCCATCCCTTTGAGTTCCACGTTTCATCTTCTACAGTAGTGACTCGGCGACGGTGTTTATGACCGATGAAGGGAAGCCCGCCGCAGTAAATCGGCTGATCTGATCATAAAAACTAGTACGCATGGTCAGAAATACCAGAGCCCTTCACTATGGTGTCATGTGGGACCCAAACTGTTGCTCTTCCTGAACCCCAGTCGCTGAAAAGAAAAAAAGTGATCAAGGCACCAGTGGTGTGACCACTGAGTATGTTTCCCTCCTCACCTTCACTTAGCTATGACTACACCAAGCTTGACCCTCCCTCTTTTTATTTTTATTTTATTTATCATATACTGCGAACCATTTAATGTCCAAGCAGGAAAGGTACAGCAAGTTCGAAGGTAAAATAAAGGTACAACAAAGTTACAACAAAATTGATACTGGTATACACGAAATGTAAGAAAAACATAGAAATCACCATCAAATTATACTCGTTTCCAGAGGGCTGAGTACACCCACTGCAACACAATCCATAAGCAAAGCACCACACTCTTAGGCACACAACAAGTTGTTAAATCAAACAAGTATTGTGAAAGCCAGGAAACACAAGGCGCATTTTATGGTGAAAAGGAAAGAAGAGTAGAGTTTCGGGGCAACAAGTTCCACTCAGAGATTGATTTCGGGAAAAAAGAGTGTTTGTATAAATTAGTTCTTGCGAAAATCGGCTTGATGCTACAGCTGTGTTTGTGACGGGAAGGCCTGGAAGAATCCCTTACCATGTAGTTGTCTGGCTTTATTTCGAGTTTAGAAAAATATATTAGACGGAGTAAGTTAAGTCGAGCAGCTCGTCGTCTGTCCTCAAGAGGTTCAAGATTTGCCAACTGCAACATCGCAGAGGGGCAATCGCGGCGTCTATACCTACTGTAAATAAAACGGGCTGCTAGGCGCTGAATTTTTTCTATCTTTTGTATATTGCTTTTTGTGTGAGGGTCCCATACTACGGAGGCGTACTCCAAGGAAGGCCTTACCATTGTTTTGTAAGCTTTAAGCTTTAAGGAACTGGGGGCATTAGCTAATCGATGCTTTAGAAACCCTAGTTTTTTACGTGCGGAAGAGCATGTATTTACTATATGGGTTGTCCAGTTGAGGCTTGAGGTTATTGTAACACCCAAATATTTATATTCTTCGACTTGTGTAATCTGTGACTCTTTTATAACATATTTAAAGTGAAACTTGTTGATTTTGTTGGTGATACACAAGTGAGCAGTTTTTTCTAGA